ACACAATTCTAAAACATCAGCATGTGAATGTTTTGAAATGTTATGGATGATCTTCAAATATTCACAAATGAACAAGCGGGTGCGTTATAGAGACAGGAATGCTGAGACACGAGCAAAACTAAGGATTCCTATCCCACACCGTATCGTAGCGTAAAAAAGTACGTAGTACATGAAGAGCAAATTGTTGTGAGTTTGGAAGACACTATGCAAAAAAATGCATGTGTTAAAGATTTACAGATCAAAGAAATATTGAAGAATGGCGAGGTTGATAGATAGTCGGTCTTGAAAATATTGCAACTATCGAGTCTTTTTTTCGAGATTATAGTGTTAGGTTGGTGAGAAAGCGTTCCAATCACATCATCCCAAGCTCTGAAAAAGATAAGGCAGTCGAAACTTCAGTTATTGTGACTAAGTAGTGTAATCAAATTGGCATGTTCGACTTCGTAACACTTGGAATTTCTTCATAGTCTGAATTTCTAACAAACTTACAGGGGAAAAAATTTTAAAAAATGCATTAATGTTATTTAGATCTTCTTAATTGCTTTCAGTGCAGTTTACCCACCTTTATGCAATAGAAAGTTCAAAATATAGGCTGGGAATTGCTCATTAATTGCGATGGAACAAAGGAACAACTGATTCGGGCAGCCACCGGTCTCACTCGAAATCACCCCAAACTCATTAATATAGCCCTTTATCATAGGAATGCCGTGAAGAAAGGCGAGTAAACTTATCCATAAAGCAAATGAATGCAAGTTATTGATCAGTCAATTTTTTCATTTTTCAGTACCATGGTTCCCTCGTCACATTTCCGAACTGGATGAGTGTTCGCACTGCATCACTAAATACGAACCGACTTTGGATCCGCGTCACCCGGTATGGTCATTTTAAGCTATGATCTTCCAAATAAAGCATTTGACGGCATCACACCACTTTTTGATTTCTTCGGGTTCCTTATTTTTGTTGCACTGAAAAGAATCATTCTGTGCATTATGTGTCAATACCTAATGGATTAATACACTGAAAATGGTTGGCGGACGTCTTCTCTCTTACAAGTAGTCGATCAGCAGATCTATTCAATCACCTAAATGGCAAGAGATATTAGTTGTAGTGAGACATTGTTTATGAGCATAGAATAACATCTCAGAAGAAACATGCCCTATAAACGTCAAATATTTTTTTTACCTTGCTTAAGTACTGGACCGTTTTTCAAAGACATACATAAAAACAGCATTGTTGAGAGTATGGATATGAAGACTCCTCATTGAACTTTATACGCTAATTGGGTTAAAGTATCGTAACATATTTCTAAATTTTCTACTCAATGCCGGTCTGGTTTCTCTTACCTGCCCAAAGCTTGTTGCCCTAACGATTTGGTCTTCAACTTTGCTTCGAGTTGCATCCGATGTAGTGAATATTTGCTCGTACTGAGTATCCTTATTTTTGAAAAATGTTGACATTTATGCCGAGATTTACAGACCAATTTTGGAAGTCTGAGTTGTTATGTCACCACATGATGGACTGAGCAGCATATGGTTGCTTGTTCATGTGCTATTAGAGTGGATTTATTCTGTCGACCAAAGATGAAAGGTTGCAGCGCTTCATTCATTCTAAGTTGTACCTGCTTTTGAAGGCGATTGTTTCGTCACAAGTGAGAAATTCTAATCAAGCAGATTTCGCCGCTATCACCAAGTAATTACCGCACTCTGTTTGGGTACGAAATAATTCAGACTTAGTTGACTTTTGTTTGATTCATACAGCATTCACCTCTCAAGTTTTATCAAACTACAATTTAATAAATCCTTATTTCTTAGCTTAAGAAGAAAGTAAGGATTTACGGAAGCAAGTCGAATTTAATAGATAGTCGGTCATGGGGATTGTTACACTCTAATTTTACTAATACACTAATAAACTGAGGTTGATAACTATTTTTCCTACAACCTCTTGAGTATCTTTTGGTGGATCGCTGTCAGATAGTCGTCGTCAATTCTGATAGAAGTCTACGAGCTTCACCATGATGAAAACCCATGTCTGCTAATCATCTTTTCTCATTGCACTCAGAAGCAAATCTCTGGAAGATGACATTTTGTGCTGCGTTGTGCTACGCCCAAGTTTGCACTCATGAAGTGATGCGGTGCGATTTTCACATTTTATAAACAATTTCGGCTATTACAGTAAAGTTGGGCTTCATAGGTGAGATGAAAGCCTTTATCAGAACTACTAGTTGCATTATCTGCCTTAGGAAAACAATTTTGTGAAAAAGAGCAGAAGTCATTTAGGGTTATGGAGACAGCGCCTACATCGCCAGGAGAAATTTTCTGAATAACATGGCAAAGCAATACAAGCAGTAAGTGTCTAAGTGAACCATTTGATTTCCCAAAAATCTTTGCAGCTTAGCAATCTTTATGAAAAACTGTCTATTAGGCAATCGCATATAGATGCATGTTAAGTGATTTCTCAAAGATTTGAAACCAATATTTTGTTGTATAGTCAAATAAATATCAAAATATCAAATGTGTCCGGCAGTACTCGTAGATTTTCCTGCTCCTCGATTTTTCGATAATTAGCTGGCCTACCACACGTGAGGTGTGTTAGTAGAGGAATCTCCCTCGTTTCTTTTATACGCTATCGCTGCTTAAGGTAGAATGACATCTAAAATAATGGCGACTGTAAACAGCACCTACCTCCCTATCATCATAGAACCCATAATTTGATCATAATTTGATTCTAGTAGCGAATATAGCTGGCTTAGATGAGTTCCAATCACGTTTAATCATGACACATTAACGGCAACCCTATAGGCCTCATTTTTTGCATTGGTTCAGATGGTGCGTAAAGGTTTTTTCTAGAGTTATTATAATCAACCGATCTCTTAAGGCATGGAAATGCTGTGGTATGCGTCGTTCATAGGAGGATACCTTTTTGATTATCTCCCTACTCAGATGTTTGCAAATTTATTTTATTCGAATCTGTTTATTTTGCTTTCCTTTGGGCGGCATCTTTTCTATATAATCAAATGGCATTTCTAAGACGATACTTTCATTGAGTCAGATGGCATTTCACATTTAAATTGATAAGCTACGGCTGATTACGAGAAGATCAAAAAATCTGCGCAGAGAAAGCCATTGAGGAAAAGTGTGCCATTCATTCAGGCACACTTTTTTCCCAAGTTCTATAAAGTTTTCTTACACGACCAAAATTGATTTTTTGCTAGATTCTGGAAAGATTAGCTTGTCCATAACTCAAGCAGCCAAACCCTCTGATTTCTACATTATTGAACAATGCCAAGATTAATAGATAGTCGATCTTGGAACTTTTATGTTATGACACTTAGAATAAACTAAGAATCCTATAACAACCTTATTTTTTTTGTCTGTTTCTTCCATTAAAATTCTTTCGCACTTTTGGCAATCAAACGATAGCATAATAAATCTTGTAAGACCCCAGTTAGCCGAAAAAAACTATCTCTGAAACCTGATTAGTTGCAACAAACGTTACTGCAAAAGCGAAAATTTCTTCAGAAGCATCTGCACGAACCAAAGCATCAATTGATTACAAGCACTCCACTGACTACCTGCACTTTTATGAGACAAAATTGACCAACGGAAAGGTCTAATTTTTATTGGCAGAATTGCGCCGTCAATATGGCAATATAGGTGTTCCCATAATGAAAGAAAGCTGGAGATCGCCGTAAGGAAAGGCTCCCTTTGCGTCTTTTTCAAGCCAGAAATAGTCTTTGTTGAGCGGCCTCAATCATGGAGATTTACAGTAGCGAAGTCGTAAACTCTCCATTATATCAAAGAAAATTGGAGACTGTTTTATAGAATGGCTTCATTCTATGTGGGATCTTTATAGCAAGTGCAAAAAAAAACATCGCATTGTTGCAGCTTAGAATATACAATAAATCGTAAGAACTGAGAAAACCCAACAAATTAGAACGAATTAATGTAAGAGCTTATGTCATAAGTACTGATCGTAGAGTCGTTACTAAATTTGGAACATATCATTTGTTCATAAAGTACGTCTTTGAGAGAGATACAAATACTTTTTGAATGCAGGAAATGCTTAATTCAAACTAACTTCTTCTGATGTTAATCTGACATAATTTTAAATTATTTGGAGCTCTATCTATTATACTGCCAAATATTTAGTGGGACTCCGATTCCGTTTGTTGAATACACAGCAGAAGAACACGCAACGTGGAAGGCGGTTTACGAGAGACTGCGTGCTTTGCGCGAAACTCACACCTGTTCTGCCTACAGGTTAGTCGTCTCAGAGAAGCTCCGATGCTTTCTTACTTGATAATCTACTATCACCTCTAAAATGTGCTATTGGGTACAGAGAGTTGTGATTGTTATGGAATGTTCAGAGCAAATTTTTAGTGAATTAATTATTAACGGTTGACTTAAGTGCTCACTTCATTAACAGTCAAATCCGTAAAAGTGAAGAGTTGCCTACAAGGTGTAAGTACAGGCAAATAGAGTTTACAATACTCTCGTCATTGATCAGCCCTTATGAGAGCGCCACACCCTATGTCGTCCACCATCGTGAAGATAATCAGAAGTAAGTCTGACCCATGCAATGAATCCCAGTAACATCCTAATGTATCAGGTCAAGGTTTTAGTCTATCCACACAACCCTGGTACCAACTTGTAGACCTCGAAGGGATAGCGGCCTAATTGACTTCGGGGTAAGGGGTCAAATTGAGAATCGATCTGGTGTGTTTTGTAGGACACATCTGACCACAACTTGTACGCATTCCAAGTGGATTAGGATACTCAACGATGTAGAGTGGTGTGCAAAAACTTTTACGACAGGTTGGATTCAAACTCAAATTTCACCCTATCCGGGGCGCATGCTGAACGGTTGTACTACAGGCGCCCGTTTTGGCACCACTTTTTATAGCGACAACGATTTCTGATTGATCATCAATACCCAATATCTGTAAGCATAAGTGGGTTCGGTGTCGATAGCGACTACCCACGTCGGACCATTGACGATTAGCGTCGGTAATGCAGCGGTTCAGCACGCGCCCCCGAATAGGGTGATAAGTGGGTTCGAATCCCACATTACGCAAAAGTATTTACACACCACTGTGCATCACTGGGTATATTGTGACACCATACCACCACTGCAGGAGGTGAAATAAACTACTTTCTGATATATTGGAATAAATGTCGACATTCTCGTTTTGCTGTTTACCAAAAAATTCCGCATTTACTCATTCTTTAGTGCCCATTATTAAACTTCAATTCATCCCTTTTTATAGGGTGCAAATGGTGAATATGCATACATGTATAGCGTGGAGATGGTCGAAACCCAGAACTGGACCTTCAATATTGAAAATGAACGCAATGGCAGAATCCAGCGCTAATTGCTGTCCTATTAAATTTTTCGGGCCTTATAGAGTAGAGTCATCCCATCAGGCGGTCATGAGCACAACCGCTTGATATCTCCATAGCTAGACATTTAACACATGGACTCACAAATTTTTCTAAACTTATGCTATCATTCTCACATGGAAGTCAAGTATGGCATTTCTCAGCATTTCGTGCTTCAGTATAAGATTAGGTTTCAGCTGAGTGAACATATTAAATGTTTTTTGGCGTGCTTTAGTAATGAAAAGAATATCACTCTACCTTTCGTACTAACGCTTGGCTTGAACTCCGTAGCGCCTAGCCGCACCGAAAGAGCAGTATAGTTGCGTAGAAGATGAGCTATTTTTCTTCCCCTTTAGATATTTATAAACCATAAAACATAGGATGGTTTATAAGAAAACATGGAGCATCAAATCAATAAGAAAAATCCAAAAATTATCTCGAAACGGGAAAAAAATTCCAGTTGATTGAAGAAAACAGTGCTTCGCTAGCAAGTCGCGCAGCACGAAGCGGTTTCGACTGCGATCTCCAAAAGGCTAATCATTAGGTTCCGCAGAATACAGTATTTTGAATTGGTCGAATTCAGTTTGAAGTGCTTGACTCTGCATTCCTCAACCAATTTCCTATAAATTTGTTGCAAAAGCTACTGCATCGCTCTACCTTTTGTTCGCTTACAGCTGCGGCTGCAATGTCTTTGCAACATATGCCGTGACAATCTTTGTGCCCTTGCAACTCGTCATCTAGAAAAGGCTTCAGTTTTCATTGTATGTATACACTTTCTTAGCCAGGCAGAATGAACTAATGTAACATTTCACAGAAAAAAAGAATGTTCAATATGAACCGTTCATGGCAAGGAAAGAAGCGGAACACTCTGATCTGGGTGGGGGAGCAACTACATGGCTGAGGCCTGAAATTGATGGTGTTGACATACAAAGAGAACCGAAGTCTTTTTGAATGGGGAGGTGTAATGATAGAATTGTCGTCAAGGCATATGTCGGAAAGACATTGCAGCGGTAGCTGTAAGTGAACGAACTGCATTAGCTTTCGCAACAAGTCTATACGAATTTGATTGAGGAATGATAGGCAACATGTAATATTTTACACAAAATAATGTCAACTTAATTCTCACATTCAGCTGGAAGAATTTGATTCAAAGATTCTTCTGATTTATTACCACTACATAATGCAAATGCGTCTGCTTATAGAAGAAACATCGAAAGGCTCGAAAAGGAAGGGATACTGTCGCCGGAAAAAATCCCACAGATTCGAGATGTTAACGAATTCTTACAAAGTAAGCCTTTCAAAAAAGATACCTTCAATCCGCGATTATTAAAAACGCTTATCAGCTGATGATTTATTTTGATTCCTTTAACCAAAGGCCTCGTGTTTTTCACTAAGCGAGCTCATCTTCTCACCAGACGAGAATACGTACAGCTTAGTGGTGTATAACTGAGGAAACAAAATATCGCGGTAAATCGACTAATGCACACAAATCACTATAGCGAACTTTTCTAAGCGAACGCAAAAATCTGCCAATTCAGCTGTATTTCACAAACAAGATGATTCAGAGAGAACCGGTTTTATCTTGCGCCCGTGCTCTGGATTGCTATCTGCTCGGGATTTCCTAGCGAGCCTAGCTTTTCGCGCATTCCAGGCTTGTTTTTCTCACTTGTTACGCTGTAGATATTAGAAAATTTGTCAAAGAACATTTTTCAATGGCACTAGTACTCTTCGTATTTTTTGACGTTTGCAGGCAACTACCTATCTACGCCACGGCTCCAAACCGCATCATTCACCGGAACCGGATTTGATTCATGAGCTGATCGGACATGTGCCTATGTTCGCTGATCCAGTGGTGGCACAGTTGAGCCAAGTAAACACTTTGAATTTTATAAGGTGTACCATAAGTCCTTCTTAGGAACATCGAAGCTGAGGACATAAATAAGCTTAGCAGAGTTATCGTAGCAATGCCCTAATTGAACACCATTGTAAATAGTGCAAAACAAAGGAAATTTTGTAGGACACTTGGAAAACAAGATAAAGGTAAGATAATAAGATGATAAGATAAAGGTAATATGACAGCAGTCCATGGAGCCAAACAACGCCCATCGTTGTCTCTGTAATGCTCTTTCGGATTATTCTGCTACCGATTCCACCGCAAAAACATAATGGTTAATCACTGGAACGTATCAGTCACACCAGAACGGTGGCTTGTATTGACCTCAAAAGCTTCTAAATCGCTGATGCGTTTTGGCTCAAGCAGAGTGAGATAAGAAGTGTTTAAAGGATAAAGCTCTTAGCGTTAATCAATCCCTGAGGGACGCGCCATGCAATCGACTTCATTTTTTTACTTGGTTTGAGGTGATTGAATGCATATCTAGCCTTTACAATGACTCGCGGTGGCCTCCCGCTGAACCGAGTTAGTGCCGTTCATCCTCTCAGACGTGTGAGACCAGTCTGGTACCAATTCACAGACCTCGGAGAGATGGATGGCTTGGTGAGCCATGAGCGCGAGATCGAACCATTGATCTCGTGTGCGACGTGGAGCACCTCTAACCACTGCGCCACATGCGCTCAGAAAGTGGTTATCACGGAAAAATACCAACATAAATAAGCAAAAATAATCGGTGCTGCCTAAGGTTAGAGGGGCCCTGTGGCCGCATGGTTGTGGGGTCGTCACGCCGCGCGTGTGCCAAACTTCGCCCCCCAAACCCCTTTCGGCAGTCATCAGCGCACTCCCTATGTCATGCCACAGCCAGGCTATACTCGAATTTGCAAGGAGATGTGCTCAACCAGCTTTCAGATTTTACAACTTTCACGATGAAGACGAAGAAATGCATTGAATGTTGGAGTACTGGGATCCACAGAGTGGAAAAAAACTGTAAAGACGGATCATTTGTGTACCAAGGAAGTGCACAACGTTAAAAATTTAAAAAAATATATAAATCATTAGCAGCGAATTTGCACCCGTAACCAATGAGTAACTGAAGGAGAACTTTTTTTTTTGGAAATGAAGACTTCTAAATTATTATGATTTCTACGGAATGAATAAGTTTTCTTTCAGGATATCGGTTTAATGAGTTTGGGAGCGTCTGATGAGCAAATTGAGCAGCTAGCCAATGTGAGCTATTCTAAATTAATTTACTAAAAGAGTTTATAGGAAACCTACTCTTTTTCTTATTCACTGAAGGTGTTTATTTTTTAAATTAGTATTATTTTAAACTCATTTCGTAGATATTCTGAAAGGTGAAAACTTTCTTCCTTGCTTCTCATTATTCGTGAAAAAAACTCATGAATTTTACCATGGCAAAAGCACGCGATGTGACGGAGATTATCTCAGAAACGTTGGAGGTGTTTGACGACGAAGACTTGAGGGTAATAAACGAAGCTGAGGTTCAAAAGACTAGTGGAGTCGTTGGTTGGAAAAGAATTTGCGTCCAACATTTCTTGTCATTTGGAGAATTTTAGAAAGTAGGAGAAGCCGAGAAAATGGGTAACGCTTCTATGAAAACGTTACGATATCGCTGTATAAATTCTGCGTATTTCGTCAACAGCCAGAATTTTACAGCGAGAACATTTATAGAGAAATCTTGATGAGGATAATACTACAATGTCTCAGAATATCTGAGAGCAAGTTGATATTATCCTGAAACAAGTTTCACTCAGTCCTGTGGTTAAGCAAAAACGATGTTGCTAGATACTCTTCAAAGTCAAATTTTCAATAGGTGAAAGTTACATTGGATGCTTGGCGGTCTTCTGCAGGACTAAGGTAAACAACTTTTCGAGGTAATGCTAGAAATATACGGAGTCGCGATGTGTATTGGAGAAATCGATCAAGACAGAGTTTGATTAGAGATTTCAGCAGCAGAGTAATATGCATAACTCGCCACGTAACTAGTACTAATTTATTTTCGTTAAACGGCGCGGAATAAAGAAGCGACCTTTTTCGCTGAACAAAAAATTTTTATAAGAATATCAGCAATCAATCAAAGGCACAAATCTCTGGCTACTGCGAAAAGCCTTTCTATAACAGTGCAGCAGAAGGAAACTTTTCTGTTTTACACATGCCTATTTCTCTTAGGAGAAATCTGTTTCCTGAGAATATGAGGAATAGCGTAAGTTTCGACGATTTCAATGCTTTGCTTATTTTCTCGCAATACCGTCTCATTGCAGTGTAGCAAGGAATTCAGATTGAGTTTCACATAGGCGTGCATTATTTTTCGGCCAGTGTATGGGCTGGGCGTAGGCAAGAGTAAGGGGAGTGGTAGGAAGACGGTGGAAGGTTGCTGGACGTGATTTCCATAAACGACCGATCTATCACACTCAGCGTTAGCGCAACTTTCATGTGTACTGCAATCGGGATTCTTTCTCCACTTTGTGGGAAACTCCAGATAAAACGTATCACTCTGATATTACAAGATTTCCTCGACATGCTCATATGCTTTTTCTGCTTCCTGCGTTGAAGTAGTAGAAGTGCGTAGCTCGGGTAAAACATAATACTATTTTGAATGCTACAGCGTTATAAAAAGGTCTTTACAAACAAGGATCATGTAATGTAGTACCTAGAGATTAGAGCGTTCTAATAATTGTTATCACTCTTATGAAGATTTATTGTCTAGCGAAAGGGGTCGTTTCTTCATGCCATGCCGCCTGAAGGCAAAATAACCCAATACTGTTTCTTTAACAACGACGAAATTC